TTTTGCATCTGCAGATATTTTAATGATTACACCATTTTTACAGATAGATTTGTTAACCCTAATTTCTTACGCGCCATCCATTCAACCTTCCTTATTATGTTGGGGTGGTTTACAGAAATAGGTAAAGTCTGCATGTGAATAAGTAAAGTAAAGAAATAATTACAATATACAATTAAATAAATAACACAGCAGATCGGCACCCAATCAACGCGGGCGCATTTCTAGAAATTTATCCAATCGAAGCATGACCTGTGACTTTAAATCTTGTAGTTTATGCAAGTCGCGTGTAGATAGATATAAACCTTTACCCCCCAAAAAGGGTCGTATCCATTTTGACAATGTTATCATGATTGTTACTACGTTTATCACCATTTTTATTATTATTATTATTATTATTATTATTATTGTTATTGTTATTGTTGATGATGTTGTATCTGCATGATTGGAAACGACAACAACAACAAAAAAATTAAAATAAGAATGCAAATAAATACTTTCTTCATATACAGAAAATTTGTCAATAATTATCTACTTTAACACATTTTCATATTAAAATGGTAACTAAAATAACGTTTTTCTTGCAAGAAAGGCATTATCATTTTGCAAGACGCTAGCCAAAAATATTCATGTTTTCACGTAAGCATATTTTGAACAATCAAAATCCTTATTTCCTTTCCTTTTTTTTTTTTTTTTTTTGTAACGACATGACATGCATCTCATTTTTATACAGAGTAAATTTATCGGAGAAGAATGGACAAACGTTCCGATAATCTGCAAGTCATGCCACGTGAACGGCCTGAACGTTAAATGTGGATTCTTCAGCCCGAATTGAAGGTCCGTATTATTAATTTATTACAACAGCACAGATATTAATTGTCCTTTTTGGAGAACATCAAAAAGTTTTCCTGCCTATGCAAAAAGGGGGTATGAATCTGTGCATAATTTTTCCGCAAAAAGAAAAAAAAAACCCCCCCACGAAATTGGTTTTGCCGAGGGTTATGAATCAAAATTTTTGAACAAAGAAAAAAAGAATCCCAAAGGTTTCGCGATTGTTGATTGAAAATCGAGGTTGTGATTTAAAGTATATGTACGAACATTCGTTTCGAATTGTATAACGAAATTTGAAATAATAATGTGTAGAAATCAAAAACTTGATTTCATACCTGTTACCAAGATCAATGGTGCCGAAACGGGAATTACGAGCCAATGAGAGTGCAGATTTGCAAAACAGAGCTTATTTTAGTAGTTTGGGCTCATGATTATCATGCCCATTACATAATCATTTGCGTCGTTCCGTTAATTATTATTATTTTTTTTTTCTGTGGTAACATGATTATTTAAATGATTTTTAAATAATTTAACATGAAAAAAAAAATATATATATTGAAAATGTCTGAAAAATTTCAAATTTTTTTTTTTAAAATGCAAATTTTGTTCAAGACATCATTGCCAGGGTCCAGGTAAAATTTCACAAATATTCGTTTCATATACAGTAAAAAAGATTTTTCGGCAAAAGGTAACAAAAACAATGTAATGAAACATAAATTCGGGTCATTTAAATAAACCGGTTCTTACTGCAAAACAATTTATTTGGAGACTCCTTTGAAATTAATTATATATAGTCAATCATGTGATTAAGGATGTTAATAAATACTGTGGCAAGTTTTAAGGAAATTAGAGAAAGATGAATAAAAAAGTAGAACGATGAAAATAATTAATCCCTTTGAGCTAAGTTTTAAAGTACATGCATGATATAAGCGAACAAAAAAATGTGAGACCCAATTTTTATTTTTATTTGATGATTTATTAATAATTAATAATTTTTAATTTTTTTTTTAACAGACTAAAGACAACTCGAAATGGTGGTACGTTTTGTGAATCAAGAAAAATTATAATCCTTCAAATGAATTCTGAAGATATTTGATATGGGATTTATGTATGAAAAGCAAATTACTAACTCAATTCATGAAAAGGCATATAAAGCTTCTTTTTTTTTTTTCATGACAAATATTAACTACTGTTTTTCTCGGCTAATTCTATTTTGTAAAAAAAAAAAAAAAAAAAATCAGAATCGATTCCGTGTAAGTTTCCGTTTAAAAATTCAAATCAAGTTTCAAATATTCGAAAAAAAATAAGTTCAAAACGGAATTCGAAATTATTATATATAATGCAATCGAACGATAATAATTGGGAACGATCAAAATATCATTCCAATCGAAACGTTTAATTGGAATGATCAATAATATCGATCCAATCGAAACACATGATTTATTTAGATAAATAATAGAACCAGAGAACTGGATCAACCCATTTAATAAAAGGTTAGTATGCAATAAAGCAATCGTCATTCATGTCTTTGGGAAAGTTTCTTTTGTAGGAGTTCATTTACGATATTTGAAATGATTTTATTTTCGATTCATATTCGAAATACTTAACAAAAAAAACTTGATTCGAATATTTAAATTTTCGAATATCCATATCCTACTTTCAAGCTCTCTAGAAATTTCGACAAAATAAAGTTTCAAATTTTTAGCCAAATGGTTTCCTGGCGATTTCAATTCGATTCAATTAAAATGTGATTTTAAAAAATTTTAGTTTACTAATAATAAAGTTACGATTGTTAAATTTCAGACTCTGTCGCTAGTTGATTCGACTTTAGAAATTGGCGTGGCTGGTATCGTTGGAAAAGAAAAATATAATTATTCGAATAGAATTGATATGGTTCATTTTTATTAATGTATGTAAGGTCTTTATACTTTAAAAGCTATACATGTATGGTTTGAACGATTCTTTTTTTTTTTTTTTGCACTAAACTGCGAAACCATTCTAATTAATAAATCAGACTGTTCAATCTTTTATATGGGAAATTACGAGAACACTAAGTAATTAGTAAATCATATGATCTGAACATTGAAAACCATTTACCCAACAAATTTTCCACACCCCACGTGACGCTTGGCTGGCATTACGGCATTAAGAAATTAGCCTTGTGACGAATAACAGGTGACAAATATGATTTCGCTCCCCGAAAAAAATTCCTCAGAATGCTTATGAAAATAGAAAACGCGAAGGGTGTGACGCAGGGTGACAAATATTTCTATGATCACGTGGGGGTGAAATTTGTTGGTGATACTGGGCAAGATATTGAAAACCTTCCCATATCACATGACTCAAATTCTAGAATTAAAACCTTTCGCTAAAATTAATCATAATTTCCCTCAAATGTATATTTAATTTCACGTGATATTCTTTCAAATAAAATGAAACGTGACAAAAATTCAATGTAAAGGATAATCCATATTTTTTTTATTAGTTCTACCATACTATATTCAAAAATTAAAACGGTCAATCTTTTTAAGGGGGAACGAATCTTATTCATACCACAATTTAGATATACTTTCTAAACTTCCTTGTAGCAAACAAACTTATTACGTAAAAATATTAATCTTATTATAAATCTCCTAAAAAATATGCCGAGCCTCGACCCCTTCTTGTTCTTTCGCGATTTCCCTATACGGTAATTTGACCCGTTTCTTTTCTTTTATGTCTCTCTCTTAAGACCACGAGGTTTGGATTTGCATCAATTTTTTTTTGCCTGCCGGAACACCTCCGGATCTAACTTTTATTAATAAAAAGATTCAAAACGATCTCATTATTTTAAAGAAACGAAGGATATAATTTTCGATTGAAAAAAAAAAAAGAGACCGATAATCCTTTTATATGAGGATTAATTATGATTAGTTGGATCTACAAACATTTTTTCCGCATATGATTTTTTCGTAATATTGATTTATTCCTTTTATAAGATGAAGAATAATCACAATTTATTAATCATCACCATGTATTACTTAGAAACGATTTGGTAATATTATCTAATTGAACTAGATCCTTAATAACAATTTCCTCATTTAATAATAACATTCTTTTCATTCATGAACCTTGTAGATTAATTAGATTACCTAATATTTATTAAAAATGAACAAAGAAAATTTTACCATGGTTTTTTTTTTCAATGTTATAAATAAGGATTATCTTTAGGAGATAAAAATTTTTTTTTTTTTTTTGACAACTGTATTAATAATAATAATAATAAGCGTGTGGTTCTTTCCTTGGATTGGATTTTCAATTTATTATATTTAAAAACTTTAAAAATTGGATTTTTACGCGCAATATGTAACGATAAAAAAATATGTATGCATTTGGAAAAGGTTCAAGTAATTTAATTTCGGTTATGAAATCAAATCTAGATTCATTAAATTATTTTATTTGTTAAAAACAAAAAATTTATTAAGATCATTCCCGAAACCCTAGGGAAAGAAAATTTAAAGCGACTCGACATGCATTATATATTATTAATTTTCTAATAATTGGTTCCATAAAAAACGTGGGAATGTCATCGTCACCTTACCGTTAACTTTTAATTGGATGATAATAATAACAAGTAAAATTTCGATCGGTGAACATTCCAAAAATGGATGCGTACATAATCAAATCATGCTTCAAGGGAAAACAAAAAGGTAAGCCATCACCTTTAAAGGAATCCAGTTGTTCGCAGGGAAAGGGAACGAGATTTAATGAATCCAAATCAAACATTCTTTTGATGGAATTAAATCATATGATCGACTGAATCGTCGTTTGTTTATGGCATAGACTCGGTAAAATTTAGAAACGCGAACGGTCGGGATTTTTTTTTTTTTTTCGGACAATGAGAATCAAAAGGGGGGGGGAGGGACCATTTCATGTAGATGATTTCTTGCGGGAATTTATCAATTTGCATAATCATCACGTACGTTCACATGTCTTTTATTGAACAAAATTATGACAAAGCGCTTAATAAACAGGGTGATCTCTACCAAATATTAATGTACATAAAAAAACATGAGATATGACTGTCAGAGAATATAGGGTAAGTGCTGAGATAAGGATAAGGGACTAAATCGTAAAAAAAAAAAAATAATATATCTGGAATAAAAATTTTCTTTTTTCCCAGCACTCACCCATCACATGATAAGTGAACGATCGTCTTTAGCTGGAGAGCGAACATATAAGGCTAGTCGAGAACTTTTAATTTTCATTTTGGAACATTCATCGGATGTTCGATCCCTAAGTTATCACATTTACCGTTTTTTTTTTAATTTTTTTATTTTTTTTTTTATGGATCGACTGTTCCACGGTCAAATCATAAATGATTGACAATCTTGTAATACCAGAATTAAACGTCTTTCTCTGAAAATAAACACAACTCGGGTTTTAAAAAGAATTAAATGTTATTTGAATTACTTAAGAAAGGTATCCAGACAAATTGAATCAATTTTACGCGAAATATCCGAGAATCGGATTGTTCATCCAAATTCGTTGAATGAGAGGTTTCGCACAAATATGGTAAGGGTCCACATAAACAATTTAACGTATTTGTACAATAAGGACAATTTACCATTGCGTAACATATAAGAAATCTTGAATCTCATAAGCAAAAGTAATAATAATCATTCATAATAAAAACATGAATGGTTAAACATCAGGTATTAAAAGAGCATACATCCAGGAATTAATTTATGATTACGACGTTGTTGATGCAAAAATAATTTTTCGATTTTTTATTTTATTTTATCTTTATTTTAACTTTATTTTTTTTTTTTTGTTTGGTTTGGTCATAATTACAAGATATAATTATCGCTTTTATTTCATTGAGCAGACGCGAGCTTTATTCATTCCGGAAAAAAACATGGTTGGTTTGCCATGGAAAGAATGTATTTATTGAAGCTATACGTTCGTCCGGATGGGACATGCTCTTTTGTATTACATATGTATAATTTGCTCACAATTTTTTGATTGTGAAAGAGATGGTCTAGATCGTGCGTTGAAATTAAAAGGCGGCCTTCTAATGCTCGAAGATCAAATATATATATTTTTCGAAATAAAAGAAATTTTTATGGAAATCCTCCAAAAATAAATCAATCATGTGAGCAAATATAAATAAATAATACCTGCTTGTTTCGATCAAGACTCATAGGCGATTGCAATGTTACACTCGATCAAAAAATAGTTTAACGATTATCTAATTTTCCTAGCAAAGACTCACTTTTTCATGGGTTTCCTTTTTTAAATTAGTTAATTTTTTAAAACCTTTTTAAAAAAAAAAAGTAAAAATAAAAAAGGGACGTTTGTACTCGCAATCATGTAGTCACCCACGATAAAAGGAAAAAAAAAGTCTTAACCTCCCAAAAAAGATTTCTGTCAACTTTTTAAGTTATCTATTGTTTCTTAAGAAGATATTTTTTCATACAATCTATACATAAATGGAAATGTATTTATCCGTTAATATTTTTATCTGATATTCCGTAAAAGTAGGGAATATTTTTCTTATTATTGCTGTTTACTTAATCCTGTAGTTATTGGTCAATCGACCATTTGATTGAATATTTTGAACGAAAATAGATATATGAATACTATATATGGAATAATCAGAACGGTCACAAAGGGTAATGAGCTTTGGAATTTTTTCCATCTAAGGTTGTGATTTGTACAAATTTTAATGGGTTCAACTAATCTATTCTCCAATTTTAGTAAATTATTTCGGAATTACTATATTCGAAAAAAAATATATTTCATTGTTAAATTACATATATTGATTTCCCGGAGGTCACAACGGGAAGGTCATAATTGTGTGATAACAAAAAAAAAAGTGCTTGGGATATTCAAGTGATTATTTAATATCTTTTTTTTTTTTTTTTACATGCATTTTTATAAAAGGATAATGTGGTGTCTGAATTACTTAATAATATCAAAATGATTAGTAATGGTTACATCCTTAAAGTATAATCATTGATGTGGTGTTAGATTGTACAAAAAGACTAAAAAGATTCCTTCAACTTTATTACAATATAAATTGGATGTTACAAAGGTAAGATGACATTATCGGTTTCACAACTCAACATTTTCATTTTTTACATCATCAGATTAAAAAAAAAAAGTAAAGGATTGTTTATTGAGGTTACGATTGTTATGATTGTTCTGATACCAAAACCTTCTAAATTCGGATTTTAAAATAATTTACAACGTTTTTCCAAGATAAATTCCGCTCGGCACTATCTGGTGGCCCGTAACCTTAATTTCGGATTCATCCTTGAGGGTTTTATGTATGCAATATCAATTATGTGGTGTTTCGAAAAAATTCCTTTATAATTAATTATTATTATTATTACGGAATGTTTTAAATAAACATAAAAAAGGATATTCTTTGATGATTACATTTTTTATCTTTTTTTTTTTTTTTATGTTGGGTAATGTAAGATGTTTGATCTTTTTTAATTATATTATAAACCTGCATATTCCATATATTGCAGTTATTTGTAATTTTGATTGCTCTGTGCGCTTTCAAAAATTCAAAATTACTAAGGTGAAATATCCGGTAATAAATCCAGTAACACAACCTGGTTGATAATTCGCGCGTAAATATACATGATATTCTAACAGTACCACATCGTTTTTTTAAAAACAATACATGATATTCTGCCATTTAATCAAATGCAACTCACATAACTAATTTAATGCCAAGCGTTTCAGCGTATTTATTTGATTATCAATCTTTACTTGTGAAAGGGAAAAAAAAGGAATATTACATGAGCGGTGTAAAAAGTAAGATTTGAATGATCCAACGAGGCTTGACAATCATAATAAACATGTGGTGAACCTTTTCAAAGTTCGATGATTTCAATCATCAGAGTCGCGAATTTACTATTGTGAAACGGAATGAACGCTTGACTTTGTATAAGGCGTTGTCATCTTCATTTTGATCATAAACGGTAAAACTTAAAAGAGGCATATTCATACACACGTTTCAAGGAACCTCTTGTAAGAAGATAATTTTGAGTAATCCAAAATTTAGATCCTTTTAATTCATGCATTGTAAAAAAAAAAAAAAAAATTGTACAGTTGGCTCTCGCGGATATTATTCAATCCAGAAGTATGTAAACATGACCAAATATTATAAAAACGAATGATATCGTCAAGATTATCATTTTATGCGTGTAACTAACCTATTCGATTATGTGTTTATTTAAAAGTCTACAAGTACCTTAAATATATACTTGTTTTTCGATCGATGCTTACGAAGAGGGTTCGTCACTTTGCATCTTTGTTTTTATTTCATACTTTGTAATTTACTTTACCTTTTATCTTTTTTTGTATTTTATTTTTTAATAAAAAAAACAAAGAAGAATAATAATAAATACATAAAATAAATATTCATGTTGTGTTGCGAGATTTAAATATTTCTTTATATTTTTAATGTGAAAAAATAAATTACCAATTTTAAAATACATTTAACAAACGTTTTTTTGAGATTTCTTATCTCATACTGTATGCTCATAATAACATAGATAAGGGACAATGCTCTCCCTTTGTTTAATTGATGTAGATTTGATGGGTTTGTTCAAAGTAAAACTTTATCGATTACCTAATTGAACCTACATGTAACCTATATAGTATTAAATTGCATCATTTTCCTCATTTCTTTCTTCTCGTCATTTTTGTAATCAAAACACCTTTTTGAAAAGGTCATCTTTAAAATCGTCGTTATTATCATGCATTATGAGAAGGTCATGGAAGTTTTTTTAAAAAAAAAAAAGAAGGCAATATTTACATTCGATATCGGGACCATACATTGTAAAAAAAAAATAATCTAAATAAAAGATCTCAATAGGGATGATGAACAATAATAAAACCCTTTTTGTCATCATTAATGCATGTGCTTTATTGTTGTTGTAAACATTTATTACATTTATTTATTTATGGTTAATTTCGAAATTAAATATACCAGTAACCTATTTTCAACAAAAAAAAAAATAAATTTTAGGCGTACAGATTATATAAGGAATCCCAATTCTACGGAATTGACTTTGATACAATATAAAAGGAAATTGAAAGAAAAAAAAAAAAAAAGGCATCATCAATGAATATTGCACAACAAACTTAAAATATTACAATTCGGTACAAAGCGAATTCACAGCATGAATGAGATGTTTTAATTTGGTATTTTTATATAATAAAAAACCCCCCTCCGCCAGATAATTAATTCGTACGAATCACATCCTTGATATCACTGATTTTCCATCGGATCCATCCCTTCATCATCATCCGCACAAAATGCGACTTCCCAAACCAGCCTCATCCTGAAATTCCGGGTCATGCTCGGGCATGTGGACGGCTCCTTCTGCATTCTCTTCCTCTTCGCTTAACACCGGATCTCCTCTTTCCGGGTCACGTGGTGACGTCGGCGAAGGCGGTGAACGGGCCTCTTTCGATCCTAGATCGTTGTTCTTTAATAACTCGTTCATTTCTTTAATCATGTCATTCACGTCTTGTTCATCATCCTTGGGAGGTGAGGTGTTATCTACGTCCATATCTTCTGTTGGTTCGGCGGTTTGTTGCCTACTCAATTCCCTGGCCATGATCTTAAAGTACTTTTCTTCAAGATCGGAGGAATCTCCGGAAACCTTATCGTACGCAATTATTTCGGAATTCCCGGGCATTAACGAAGGAGAACAAATTTCCGATTCGTTGTCATGATCCCAATAATAATCTACTTCCCCATTATCTGAATCTTGATAAAACACGATTCCTTGATTTAACGAGGTGGTGTCAATTGAATCCCCCATCTCGTAATGATGGGCATGCTTTGAATATGGGGGATTATTAGTGGTGTTTGGATGATGGTGAAATTTTGAAGGTAAGGTGTGCCTTCTACGATGATTTCTTGATTGTTGACGTGAGGGTTGATGTGTGTCGGGGGAATGAGATCTTTTTGGTGGGGATTTCCCCTTATTAACCGAAATGGAAAAAGAAGTTGCGGATGGATTAATGTTAGATGTCATGTATATGTCCTTTTTTAATTGGTTTTAATTATTATTATTATTTATTATTATTATTATTTTTTTTTTTTAAAAGAAAAAATTTAAAAATAATGGATGGCAACAATTTATATTAAAGTGTGACTGCGGCAACGAAATGATTGAATAGTGATTCCAAAATTACGTTATTACTCATCAGCCCATCTGACAGGTCAGGTGATTATTATGCGGCCCGGGGGATGACGGAAAGCAAAAAAGTTTTTTTCAAATTTTTTTTTTTTTGGCCAAATCAAAAAAAAGAATATGGGATGGTCTTACCTGGTATATCATTATTTTCTTTTTTTTTTTTTTTTTTTTTTTTGTTTATTTTTTTTTTATTTATTTATTCTTATTATTTTTTAATTTATTCTTTTAACCATTATGATTTTTTCCACACTCATTTCCCCGGATGTTCCCCTTTCCCAAATCGACATCCACGTTTTGAATGTAATATACGAAAAAAGAAAAAAAAGAATCATCAAAAGATATTCATTCCGTGCCTGGATCTACACTTCAACCAAAAAAAATCGTCCGATAAAGTTTAGTGTAATGTTACCCTTTTCTTTTTTATGATTGATATGATACTATTATATAGCATTTACTTACTCTTTTTTTTTTAAAAAAAAAAATTTTATGGATAATTATTAATTATTAATATTTATTATTTAATATTTATTATTATCATTATTATCATTATTTTAATTTAAGGGAAAAGAAAGAAAACGGGGAAAGAAAATTTTAATTTCTCACTTTTTTTAAATACTGAAAATACCGAAAAAAAATAAATAAAGAAAGAAAGAAAAAAGAAAAAAAAAATATACCAAGAAGGATTAGAACAAAGTGCCACAGTATCTGGCATATGTTTGTATCTTATTCATAATTAATTAAATCTACTGTAACATCGCATAATTGAAAGATTGACACTTGCGTGTTGTGTGATATCCCTTTTCAAACATTTCGGAAATAAATTACGGGACGTTGCCTTGCGGTCCGAACTATTTATAAACTGGTGTTGTGACAGGTTATCTGTAGATCCTTTTCCAAAATTTTAATAATGTTTGAAGATCCGGTAAAGTCTAGTAAAAGCTACCTAAAAAAAACCCAAAATTTCAAATTATTATCGATCTTCACTTATGTCATTCATTACGCCATAATTGCGGTCACGGGAATAATTGTTTTTTCGCATAGAGATCTACGTCATGTGAAAAATAAAAAGACCTACATGCTTAAATGAAATAATGAAAAAAATGGAAGCGATAATTTTTTTTTTTTTTTTGTTTATATTTTTTTTTTTTTTTTTGCAAAACCAAAGACCTGATTTTATTTTTTTTTCTCTCTCCCAGATGATGAAAATTTCCCAATGTCGTGCCATCTGTTTTGACGGAAAAAAAAAGCCACCATGCCGCTCAATTCGATTGAACCAATTGATTGACTAAAAAGTTCGGAATTTTCTTGAGGCATTGAAAAAAAAAGATTCCAGAACTTAAACAGGGATTGGGACCTAACAAATATACATGTAAAGTAAATTACAAAACAGACAATATTTATAGTTCGTGCTAATCACATCAATTATCACGAAATTGCAGCATTGTTGTCAGTAGTCAGCATTTTGTAAGCAGATATTAACTGGAAATATTAGGGACAATCTGAACAAAACATTTTCAGCCTTGTTTCCAACTTTTTTTTTTTTTCTTTGTACGATGTATGTATAATCGAACCTCTTTTAGGCATATTCCCGGAATCAAAAAAAAAAAAAGCAATTACAAAGGTTTTTCGCTGGTATCGAAAAAAAAAAAAAAAGTATTACTCTCGCAAGCATTAGAACCTGCCCTGCACCAGGAAAATCCTCCTTAAATGGTGAATACTTTTTATGTCATACAAAACGTATTTTTTTTTTCTAAATTTTTTTCTTCTTCTTCTCAAGCATTTGCAATAACCCGTTGCATAAAATCTAACTCTCACAATACGTTCACAGGTAAACATTGTTTCAACGGTACCACGCGACAAAGAATTTATAGTTCATGCGAGCGGTTACGCCATGAATTCGACCCGTTCTTGATCTTGATGTTTGATATGTTTGATACGACACTCGTGCCCTGTTTTCTCCCTTCGCAATTGTTTGCGTCTGGCAAAAAAAAAAAAAATGTATATATATATATAACATAATAAATAAAATAAAGGGAAAGGGTTGAAGGACCTCGTCCAATTCCTTCGCATGATGCTGTCACACCGCATTAAGCTTAAGATTAAAGGAAAACCATATGGAAATTTGGAGAAAAGGGTCGAATATATATTTTTTTTGTTCCCGCATATATTAAGTAAACAATAGGTGTGCTACAAAAAGGTAGCCTTTGTAAATATTGTTTTCATATAAAAACATTATTTGTGTCGCGTCGTCATAGACTTTGTTTACGTGACCGCTTAGTCATCCTTTTCGTCAGAATGAATTGATACTAAGAATGGTTAAGGGTGGTTTTCCTCTATATTTCATGTTGTACTATTTTTTGCATTTTCATCCGTTTTTCATTCATTCATAAAATCTTTTTAGAAAAAGGATCATCAAACCTGAGGATAACCCTTCACAACTTATATTTGTCGTACAACGAGAACTCTTTTTACAAAGGTTTGGCGTACAGGTTACAGTTTGTAATTTTGCAATCAACATTTTTAAAAAAAAAAGGTCCTTGGTACAAGTTAAGGCATGCTAGCTTTCTCTGGTTCACACCTGGTATACATTCCTACTACCCACCTCTCTCCTCTTGGACACACGGCCAAAATGGCCAAAAGATCGTTAATTTAACCCAATTGAGGTAAACACGGTTGATTATGACGATTATTATGAGATACATTTCGTAAGGACGATAACGATTACGAAATGTCTTTCCCAAACTTGTGTGAGATTTTTTTACATCACATCCCAATTTGCCCTTTACGTCGAGAATCATTGTTTGCCCGCCCGTTACACGTAAGTTATCAATTGATTTTGATGATTTCTTAGAAAGAAATCATCCGCAACTTTATTTCCTTATCCAACGAAACGGCATGAATATTTTCTTTATTATTTATTATTTGATAACGGTTGAAACGCCTAGAGAATATAAGACGTGATAGAAAAAGGTGATAGGTGATAAGAAATGTCACGAACGTCGTCGTGCAGATTTTTTTTTTTTTCGAAATACACAATCAAAAAAAAAAGAAATTAGATTACGCCACATGTTAGATCACAAACGGTTTTTGATGTGTAGTATACCTGAGCTTTAGTGGGAAATCTCGAGAAAAAACAAACGTGAGACGTCACATTGTCCCGTCTCTTTGGTATTTTGGATCTTTTGCCGTTTCCTTTTTCATCACGGTGACATGGGTGAGAATCGATGATTTCATATATTTCATATTGTCGAATTCCCCGAAATATACTGTAGGTTGGCTTTTCATTCTTTTCATTGTGATTCATTTTAGTCGTGAAAACGCCAGTTGTATCGTAAAAAAGATTTTTTTTTTTTTCCTGCCAAATCAAGAATTCCTCTTTTAGGTAAGCGAAAAGAAGACTATTAGGATTCGCAAAAAAAAAAAAAAGAATAATAAATAAAATTTGAGTCACAAAATGAAAAAAAAAAAAATTATAATAAAAATCATAATAATAATCACAAAATTTCAAACAAAAAATGTTTGTCCCATTGTGGGAAACCAGATATTTTTTGAAAGATATCGGCGATTGACAAATTTTTTTTAATATTCGTGCTAGTCCCAATACGACAGGATCGTTCATATATGCAAGCTTTACTGTACCGAAAAGGTATTATTACATAATGAATTACTAAATCAAATGTTTCGTTGTTTGTGCACAATCCCACTTACTGGGACAAAAGATTTTCAACTATGTTAATATATAATATATAATATATAATATATAATAATTTAAGAAATATTTAAGTTTTTTTTTTTTTTTATAAAAAAAAAAAAAAAAAAAAAAAAACACCATATAAGCTCTTTAAATAGGAGGTGAAAAAAAAAATTTAATTTTTTTTTTTATTAATCGAAAAGCCAACAAAATATAAATATAATAAAAAACAAAAAAAAAGTATCCACCTTTTTTTTTTTTTTTGATATCAGGTACCTATTTTATTTCTATTGTAATTTATATATATATGTATGTATGTATTTATTATACACACATATAATTATTATACTATAAAATATAAATAAAAATAAATAAATAAATAAATATATATATATATATATATATATTGTCCAATTGTCCAACAAGATTTTTTTTTTTTTCCGTCATTTCCTTTAAAACTTCAAACAATTTTCGTCTCTTCCTACCTTTTTTTTTTTTTTTTTTATTAATTGGCAAAAATAATTTTGATAAATTCTTGACTTTTGGTGGAAGCTTATGACTAACAATGCGTTGATATTGTACTCTTTTCTTCCATTTAGTTTTCAATTCATCCAAACCTTTCATCTTGCGCGACTATAAAAGGGGAACTTCATAACTTCTTTTGCTTATTATTATTATTATTATTATATCCTCGCAATATCATTATATACTCGAATATATATATATATATATATAAATATCATCCCCACTCTTTAAAAAAAAAAAAAAAAAAAAAAAAAAAAAAAAAAAAAAATTCGAATATCTTACAAAAAGAGAACCCTTTTTTTTTTATTATTGCAAAGTTTATCACGAACGTAAAATCAAAAATCGCTGGGTCACATCTCACCTGTAAAAAAAAATCAGATATGAAAATAATGTCATTGCTGAATTCGGACAGTGAGAATGTGCAAACAACGACGGAATCGTTCTCTCTGGAACATGAAGAGAACAATTCCGACACAAACGCACTTGCAATTCTCCAATATCTGACCTGTCCGAGCTGTCAGGAGGTTCTCGCCGACCCTGTCACATTTCAATGCGGGAATTCGCTGTGTCGTGATTGCATTCCCAACCCATCGCAGTTCTCAAATCAATGTAAATGTCCTATCTACGGATGTGGAAAATATCATTCACTTGATTGTAAAACGGATGTAACCTTGCAGAAATTAACCGATATATGTCGAAAAGAATTGGACACACTTTTGCCCTTAAGAGAATCGAGGCAAACCATACTTCAAACGGATAATAATACAAATGACATATTAGACGTTGAAAGAAAAGGGTTTCAATTATTGGATGAATTTCAGAGCATTTACGAACCCAAGGAAGAAAATAGTACAATAATGACAACATCAAAGTCAAGGATATCCGACCTGGTGAATTCCAATGATTTTGGAGGTGGCGCAGTAACGGAATTACGGTCGGGTCGGATGAGCCATTACAGGTCAATGACGACGACGCATTTCGATCTAAGGCAGATTAAGGATTTAATAGTGACGGAATTAGATTGCCAAATATGTTGTTCCCTATTCATAGATCCGATCACGACACCTTGCGGTCATAGCTTTTGTAAATCTTGCTTGACTCGTTCCCTGGACCATAATTCCGCCTGTCCGTTATGTCGGAATCAGCTTCATAATTATAACGCTTACTTGCACCATCCCATAAACAAGACGATATACACCTTCATAAGGGCATTGTATCCTTCATTGTACGCGGAAAGGAAATTCGCGTTGGAGAATGAGTTCTTTAACACCACGCAGGAAACTCCCATATTTGTCACGGCCCTGGTCTTTCCGAAAATGCCATATTTTCTTCACGTGTTTGAACCAAGGTATAGGTTAATGATTCGAAGGTGCATGGAATCACGTAAAAGGCAGTTTGGGATGGTATTAACGAACGGTACGTCGTATCATGATTATGGGACAATGTTGGAAATAAGGTCCGCAGAATTTTTAACGGATGGTCGCTCGCTCGTCGAAACGATTGGAACGTATAGATTTAAAGTTGCCGAAAGGGGTTCCAAGGATGGATACGATGTGGGGCGAATCGAGCGAATCGACGATATCAGTCCCGAGGAGGAGGAAAGGATCGAGAGGGAAGAATTGATGCGTGCCCAAATTCACAACAGCAACCCTATAAATGTTCCAAAACGGGAGTATACGACCTCGGAGTTAATTGGTATTTCACGTGATTTCATCGAGACACTTCGTAATGGTAACGCACCTTGGCTTTTACAACGACTTAATTCGGTGTATGGAGATATGCCTGACGACCCGTCGGATTTCTCATATTGGGTCGCCTCCGTGATTCCGATAGACGAAGTTGAAAAATATAAGTTATTAGAAACAAGATCTGTTCGAGAAAGATTAAAGTTGATTGTAGAATGGATAACAAGTTTACGAGATCAATGGTGGTTTGCTCGTGGTTGCTCCATTTCATAAAACAAAAACCTTGTCTTATGCTTCACCCTCTTTTTTTATTCAACCTATAATAATTGACATTTCTTTACACGTAAAGAACTAATTTAATTCAAAACATTAACGCGTTTTTCCACTTCACATGTCACCCTTCAATCATAAATTCCGCCTACACCTTTCTTTTTTTTTAAAAAAAAAAATCAAAATCAAAATCTGCTTTACATAAACATAAAACGATGTGGGACAATTATGGAATTCCTTTAATTTTTTTGCGTATTAATGTTAATTTTTCCCTAACCATTAATAATATTAAATTCTTCCCATAAAGCCACTTTTAATATATATATATTTTTATTCATTCTGCATTTATTTTTCTTCTTTCTTGTAATTAATTTTTTTTATCAATGTATATTTGTTTCTCTTTTTATTTAAAAAAAAAAAAAAAAAAAAATCTTTTTAGAATATATATATATATGTATGAAATATATTTTGAAAGGAAGGAATTAATGAATAGTTTATAATAATTTTTATCTTCTCAACCCCTCATTCTTTTTCTTTTTAATTTTTACCGCTTATTTATTTTGATATATATAAACGGGTTTATACCAATAATTCCCTCCTTTTAAAAAAAAAAAATTATTAAATAATCCTCTTATAAAAACTACTTGTTAAAACAAAAAAAAACCCCCCCCCCCCAATTCCCTCCTCACGAATACACCCCCCCTTTTTTTTAAAAAAAAAACTTCCGATTTAAGGAAAAAAAAAAAAAAAAAAACACCGTTTAAATTTTATTTGTCTTCACAAAAGTAATTAAAGTAAAAAGTAAATAAAACTGTTGTTATGCATGTTGAGAAACTAATTTTTCAAAAAAAAAAAAAAAAAAAAAAAGAAAAGAGCTTTATTAATAATAATTTGTAATTTTTTTTTGGAATTTTAAATTCACAATTGAGTACTGCATGTTTAAAAATAAACCCGGTCTTTTTTTTTTCCTAATAAACAAAGTTCCCACACGTATCAAAAGTCACTGGCATAATGCGATGACGATCATTTTTTTTAAAAATTATTAAATTGAATTTCGTAGAATTGCCTTTATTTACAAAGGGTTATTTTGCTCCAATTTTTCCAATAACTCACTTTTTAATGAGAATGTTATGTAATAAATATTAAAATTTTATTCAAATCAATAAGACAATCTCGATGGTATAAAAGCATTTAATCTAAAATTTTAATGTATTAAAAACACTTAAAATATATGACGCACGACTTTGCCTTATTTTACTAAATTAATAAAAAAAAAAGTTTAATTAGAACTAAAAAGTTCCGTCGATTTTGTAATTTTTAAGTGCCCGGTGATAGAAAAAAGAAAAGTAAACAATTTAAAAATTCAAGTTTCAAATCACTTTGCCTTGCTAATCCTTTTTGAGGTTCATTGAGGCAAAAAGATGTCAAACAGATTTTTTTTTTTTTTCTTAAATAAAAAAAAAATAATTATTACATTATTTCGTATATGACCCTTTTTGAAAAAAAGATATGGGTTGGACCTTTTTTTTTTTATTATTATTTTAAAGATTTACTTTTTGTTTATTATCAAATCAGATAAGTCAAAACAAATATTACAAATTCTTTTTAATGCACACCTCTCCGTTTATCGGATTCTCCATACAACCCTTGAATGATCTTCCAATCACTTGCCATTTTAATGTCTGATGGAATTGTGATCACAATAATCAATTAGGTAACAAATAAATGTGATTTATTTAATTTACAAATATTGTACAAAAAAGTATTGCATAATCAAATAAGTATTGTCCATTCATTTGAAAATGATTTATTTTGTTACTTCATGAATAGCTTCAGCCAAATATTTTACATTATGTGAGGAGATGCCGGCAATTGAAATCCGTCCGTCCTTTGTTAAATATACGTGGAAATCGTTGGTGAGACGTTCAACCTATTTTTGAAATATTTATTGTTATTTGTTTCTTAGGCGAGTTCGACATATTTGGAATGTCAACCATTCAGATGATTTTTACCTGTTCGGGTTTCAACCCCGTGTAACAAAACATGCCAATCTGATCTGTGATATGGTTCCAATTATGTTTGGATTCAAAATCTTGTACCAAATGCTTTTTGAGCTTGTCCCGCATCGTGATAATTCGATCAGCCATGGTTTTGACTTCGCCCAACCTATCGGGAATCACACGTGATTAGTGTCATACGACACGTGATATGCCAAATCAGAAAACGAAACTCACCATTCCTTGTTCAATTCGGGGTTACTTAGTACGTAGCTTGCGATCCTTGACCCGTTTACCGGAGGGTTCGAGTACATTGGTCGAATTAAAATCTTTAACTGTGAATCTATCGCTGCCTTCTCTTTTGGATTGTCGGAGATGATTGAAAAGGAACCAACACGTTCGGCGTAAAGTCCCATATTCTTGGCAAATGACTGTGATAAACAAAGTCGATGTCCATCAGAGACAAACTTTCGAATCGCATAGGCGTCACGATCTGTATCACCCGAGGCAAATCCTTGGTAGGCCATATCAAAGAAAGTGAAATGGTTACGTTCCTACGTATTGACGTATTGACGCGTTAACCCCTTGAAAAAATCGAGTATCTTTGAATTACAAAAGAAATATTTATACCTTAATAATTTTAGAAAGCTGATCCCACTGTTGTGGCGTTGGATCAACTCCGGTAGGATTATGCGCGCAGGCGTGTAATAAAAAGATGGAATTTTTGGGGGCATTCTGATCAATGATTTTTTTTTTTCTTTTAGTAAAAAAAAGACATACGACTAAATGACTCATATATCATTCCAAAATGATTTATTTACCTGGATATCTTCAACGAAGCCATTGAAATCTAAACCATTGGTCAATTTATCATAATATCTGTATTGTCCAACTTCCAATCCGGAATCTCTGAATACGGCGTGATGATTTCCCCATGTTGGAGTCGGTACAAATATTTTTTTATTGTGTTGATAGAATCGATTTAAAAAGGTACCCCCGATCCGGAGCGCTCCGGTACCAGAAATTGACTGTGTAACAGCTATCTACGGTTACACGGCATCAATCATTTCATTATTAGGATACAAAAACTTTAAAAAGGATTGTTCATCGATTTTATAAACTTACCCTTCCTTCCCCCAACGGTTCCGAATCTTTACCGTAAGCCAAGAGCGCGGCTTCTTTGGTAAAGGATGCAAGACCGGTGATTGGAAGGTATTCTTTGTCAAGCTTATCTTTAAGGATCATTTCTTCCGCCTGTCATCAGTGTATTTAATCCGTTTAATTTATTTTTTTTTTTTTTTTTCAAAAAAAAATAAAGGAAAAATTTTTCATTTATTTGTGTAAAGGAAAAATCATTTCTATTTTTGGATTTGAGTTTTATTTCGTCATTTTCTCACGAACCTTTCTAACCGCATTCAATACACACGGTTTACCTCTATCGTCTCTGTAAGCGCCAACACCCAAGTTCATCTTTTTCGGGTGCTGGTCTTTTTTAAAAGCATCCGTAACGCCAAGAATGGCATCGGGCGGTCCTTTAACGTTTTTAATGTTTGTTGATCAAAAGATAAATCATTTGAAACATGAAAAAAAAATAATTAATGAATGAAAAAATTAAATGTATCCATTGCTCTGATGAAATTTTTAGTAAATGTTATTTCTTTTTTTGAATAACTTTACCTTGAGGAACATGCGCCCAACTAGTTAGAAATGCTCGAAATGGTACTACCGACTTCACAGACAATCGTGTGGTGCGTGAGGATAACATTTTATTTGAAAATAAAAAAAAAAAAAGAAAAAAAAAAAAAAAAATTTTTTTTTTTTTTGAACTATTTATAGATAAAAATAATCGATAATCATATGATAATAAACTGATGTGATCGATTTCCCAATCTAGAAGATCTTCATATAATATAGATACTTATCACATCAGATAATCTTTAAAGAATCTGATTATAAATGGGAAAATTTATCATTTCAATTTGAATTCGAGAGATGATGTTATCATAAATCTAAAAAAAAAGGAAGGGGAAAAAAGAATATCGTTAATAAAAAATGGGCAATTCATGAGTTCGTTGATGATTAATCACGTGAAACGCCATGTCGAGAAACATTCGTGGTATTCGTTACACTGCGCGTTATTTAAGCAGCCAGTTTTTGCTTACGTGATTTGCTTATAAATTTTTATAAAATGGTTTGGTCCATATCACAGAAAATGATAAGAAAGGTTAGTCCCCGCCAATTAAACCACATTCAAAGAAATAAGTGGATGTATTATAAATAATAATAATAATAAATAAAGCCACTCCAAAATTTCAAAGAGAAATGTGTGTATATAATTTAATCGGTTACTTTGTATGACCTCAATTGTGCTATTTCTCATCAATATGTTTAGATTACTTGAACCTGATTTAAAATCATAAGATCATAAGATCATTCATTTTTTTTTAAGTTACATGACAATCAATTTAATTCTATATCTTATTTTCTAACCGAGTTTTTATTCTGGGGTATGTCGAAATAACTTTTTTCATTATTCTTTTGCGATAAATTTCGGTGGGAATTTGACGATATTGTTCACGAATCCTTTTATGAGAAAAAAATTACATTTACGATAAAAATATCTCACCTCAAGAGTGCGGGCGAAGATCCGCAGTAATGTACAAATTGAGAAATATAAACTTACATTTAGAAAATTCGTCTTAAGATTTTTTTCTTATAAAACTATTTTGGGCAAATCTTTGAAGGCTATAAGACTATTCGGTTCATAATTTGACGCGAATCAGAAACTAAACGAATTTAGGGAGATTATAATTTCTCAATTGGATTTGATTTATGATTTTATAGATATTTATTTTTTAAAAAAAAAAAAAAAAATCAAGTATTGCCTATTTCATTACATGCAATTTGAATTTTATTCATTAAATTCTGGTGTTAATTAACACTAGTAAAATACCTTCGCCCGCACCTAAAGATCAAAACATCGATATCTTTTCGCGATATATTTTTACTTGATAATTTTGATTTTTTTAAGGCCGTCAAACACAATATTTTATTATATGAATGCGTAAAAAAAAGAGAATCAAGTATAATGAATTTTATTTATCAATTCGCCCACTTTTCACTTTCCAATTATAGGATTTTCCCATTTGTTGGTGATCTTTTAAACCGTCAAGACCTTCGCTAATGACATGGATCATTCCCAATAAGCTCAACCAGTTCTATAAATTTCCCTAATATAGCGGAGGCTTTGCATCCTAACAGAATATATGTTGTACTGATCAACCAACGAAGGATATAATGAGATGGTATTAATTGAAATTTTGACGATATAGATTCTTCTTAAGGTCTGGCGCAATCACATTAAGTTTCTAATTTTTTACAAAATTTAATCGATCAGATTGCAAATACCATAGAAAAAAAATATGACCTAATTGAGTTTCGAGAATGATTTGATATTATTAAAGACATCAACAATTAAAGTTAAAAACAGAAATCTTTACTGTAAATTAAATTAATGGTGGAGTTTGCGTCTGCAATTTAAATTTGATAAAACAATTAAAAAAAATTTTGATCATAATTACATTAATGAATCTTTAATTAGAAGTATTTACTCTTAAGGAATAATGTTGCACTTTACCTGTCTAGAGATCGTGTAGTATTATCTCTTAGACCTTAAATGACGACTTCCTTTCTACTCTTTCCTCGGCAGTCTCCTCCTTTTCGAGTTCTAAGGAATAAGATCACATACATGAAAATGTATTAACAACTTTGCTATTTAACTCTCATAATATCAAATTCTTTCATAACTAACTTTTTAATAGTTCTTCAAAAGCTTTTTCTTTTATTGACTTTTCAGGTTCAACCTTTTCATTCGATATGCTATTGGTATCTTGGTTATTATCCGGCTGCTCTTCCTGTTGATTAGACTTAAAATCTTTAATCTTTGCCAATATGCTCTCTCGCTTTTCATTCGGATCCTTGGCTGGTTTCTTCATGATATTTAAACCAAAAGATAACCCTGAATTATTTGTCAAAAATTCTGGAAATATATCTTCAGAATCTTTTGTATTCTTTGTATCTTGTTTGGATGAATTTGTTCGGTTCGGTCCCTTTCTCTTTGAATTGAGACTAGAGAAGAAAAATATTTGAAACTTTGATATTAAAATTCAAATCTTCAGTTGTAAAGTGCGAATATATTTTAGCAATTACCCTTTGGATTTTTTATCTTCAAATACAGTAATGTATTCAACCTTTGGTGGCTGTTCAGTTTCTTCTTGATCGTCTGTTATTCTACGTTTCTTTATAAATGCCTTATTTCCTACGATCTTTGTTTTGCTTGATTGAAAGGACATTGAAAAACCACGTTTTGTTTTGTCCTCTTCTGAAGGTTTAGGTGAATCAGGTGATTCAATAGAATTTTTTTGTGACATTGTTAATCAATCTATTCAACTTTGAAAGGGTGAGTTCAACGTTCTACTACTATTAGTATTCATCGATTTGGGGTTGTGTCACGTTCAAAAAAATACATACATGTCCGAAATTTAAATTTAAACCGTAGATTTTGACAAGTTCTTTTAATCGTCAATTATATATACATTTATTATTTTTTTTTTTTTCTTTTCTTTTTTTTTTTTTTTTACAAAATGGAAAGCCTCTTAGAACAGCAAAGAAAAGCTCACGAAGAAATTGAACGTTTGGAGCAAGCTATCGTAGATCAATTCATGAAAGATCCAAAATCTGTTGGTTTGCAAATTTTTTAAAAAATTTCTATTCCGAGTTACCTTTGGATTTATTAATAGTTTTTGCTAATAATTTTTGCTTGAAAAATACATAGCAGCATAAAGAAAGGTTGACACGCGAGCATAGGGTTAGCGATTTCCTTGACAGAATTAGTTCCAGAAGTAAATTCCTATACGAGTTATACGACGACGGTGACGGGTAATTAAAAGTATTCTTCTAGGCATTATAGCCCATGTACCTTTTTAATTAGTAGTGTATCATGATTTTTTTCTATTCTGTAGAGCACGAAAGGCTGAAATCGATGCTTTATCTGGTACTTCAGAATTTAGTGAATTTTATGGTAGATTGAAAGCAATTAAAGATTATCACAGAAGATACCCTAATGAAACTGTTGAACCATTGGAATTGGAATTTATTAATCAGTCAAAACAAAATGGTGATGATGATGGTAAATGAATGATAAATAAATATATATTTATTATCTCAAGTTTATTCAAAAAAAGAATTGAATTGTATTTACTTTATTCAATCTTTAGAACTCGATAAGCTATTTTCGGGTGAAGAAGGAAGTGGTCGTTTCTTAGATTTACATGCCCTTCATGAGCGATATGTAAACCTAAAAAATGTTAAAAAAACCGATTATTTAACTTATTTAACTGAATTTGATAATTTTTCGGAATATCCAAAAGAGCATAAATATGGAGAATATCTCAAGTAAATTCAATACAATATATTACATTTTTTTTTTTTGTTTTTCAAATGATGAAATTATTTCACAGTTGACAATACGTTCATTAGGTACTTGCAAGAATTGAAAAATTACCTGGAAAGTTTCTTCAAAAGAGTTAAACCACTTTCCAACTTGGATGATATAAGAATTGATGCAGAGAGGTCATTCAATGAGAAATGGGCTCAAGGAAATTTTCCTGGATGGGAAAGACAAATTGGTGCAGATGATGGTTCTATTGACTTATTCTGTGTAGCATGTTAGTATTTAAATCCTATTTAGATACAATCCAAGTTCAATTCTTACAACATTAATCTTTCCTTTATGATTTTAAAAAGGTCGAAAATCTTATTCAAAAAAGACCGTTTATGACGCTCATTTGAAAAGTAAAAAACATATAAAATCCGCAAATTCAATGATGGAGAAAGGGATCACATCGATTGACCCAGAAACGCGCGAAAAGTTAAAAATGGAAGTAGATGAAGGAAAAGATAAACGTGAAAAGGAAATTGCATTTACTGAAGCATTGATACAAAAATATGCCGAAATTTTAGGTTCCCAACGTGAAGATACTAAAGCAAATGTGGAAAGAAAAAGAGCCTTAACTGATCGAGAACGACGAGTAAGTAAAAAAAATATATGTAAATATAATAAAATTTATTATGAAAACAACTATATAACTCATTTCTTTATTATCAAATTAGATGGAATTAGAGGCAGAAGAAGTGGATGATGTGGAATCCGAATCAGAAGATGAAGATAAAATTTATAATCCACTTAAATTACCCCTCGGTTGGGATGGTAAACCAATTCCATATTGGCTTTATAAGTTACACGGCCTTGGTGTCGAATACCCGTGTGAAATATGTGGTAATTATGTTTATATGGGAAGGAAAGCGTTCGATAGACATTTTCAGGAATGGAGACACGCCCATGGAATGAGATGTTTGGGAATACCCAACACGCGTCATTTTCACGAAATTACATTAATTGAAGATGCTTATGCTTGTATGTGTCTCTTCTCAAAAATTTATTGTATTTTCCACTATGTCAATAGCTTCTTAACTCTTCATTATTTATCTTATTTAGTATGGGAAAAACTCAAGAGCACAGGTAAAACGGATGAATTTAAAGCAGATACAATGGAAGAATTTGAGGATCAAGATGGAAATGTATTCAATAAAAAGACTTATGATGACTTAAAGAGACAAGGATTATTATAATAAATTTCTTTTATTATGATGTGAAAAGTAAAATTTTCCATTTTCTCTAATACAACGAAATAAAGTTACATTTTCATACAAACACTTGGTTAAAATTTAATCATCATCACTTAAAGTTATTATTGTACGATCATTTCCACTTCCAGTTAGTCTTAATATTCCTTCTTGTTCTAATGAATGAATCATGGTCTCAAATTGTTTTTCGTCAATTTTCTAAATGAATAAAATAAAATATTTAATAAAGATAGAACCTTGTAAATAAATTTTTTATCAATAATGCAAAACATAAACCACATACCACATCAGATTGTTCATTAAATTCTTCCAATGCTTTCTTCCAATTAATGTTTGTTACTTTCGTACGGTCAATCATCTTTTGGAATTCATCACGCATAACTGTTAACAACCGTCTCTCATAACTTCCATATCCCGTAGTGATCAAATCCAAGTCGATTCTTCCGGTTTCGGGATCCAAAGCTGAAAGTTTTATGGCTTCCCTAAGAAGTCGTTCGGCTTCTCTAACATCAGCAATTTCAACAGTATTTGACAACCTGTAGAGAATATTACATTTATTTTAGCCTTCACAATTTAATTTACAACTTTTCAAATGAGATTATACGTCACCTCATTCGAGCGTATGCTTCGGCTAATCGAATCATGGATTCTAGTTGCCTGGTAGTGGCTGTAACTATTTTTTCCGAAGAACGTGGGTCTTGTCCTAATCTTCGTAGCGATACGTAAGCGTCAACCAGTGCTTTATGCGCTTCATCACTTCCAATGATCGGATTATAATGAATACGAGCATATTGAATATATTTCGCCAAAATTTCAATAGGCTAAGGTATTAAAAATACACAACTAAAGGTTAATGGAATTCGAAAATATCTTAAGATTTTTCTTTACTCACCAAAATATTAACACCAGCTGAGAAAGGAGTATCTTCAGCATATAAAGATACTAAATGTGTTGCAAGTTCCCTATCGGCACGCCTGTCAATCTTATCTAGCACAAGATAAATAAGGTCAAACCTACAAAATATATAAATTAGTTATCATCAACTTTGGAATATTGAAAGATTTTGCCTAAAACTTATAATGATGTATTACCTAGACATCAAAGTCGGTGGTAGGTCAATGTTTCTCACTATAGATTTTTTTGGATCATATTTTGAATCGATAGGATTAGCAGAAGCAAGAATGGAAGTTCGCGCATTAAGAGTTGTAATGATTCCAGCTTTCGCAACTGACACAGTTTGTTGTTCCTTTATATTAGACAAGATTCCGAAATTAAATATAATTTGATGAATATTTTTTTTTTGAAGAAAAAAACACGTTAAAATACTGACCATGACTTCATGAAGAACGGCTCGTGTCCCGTCCGACATCTTATCAAACTCGTCGATGCAACATATACCACCATCGCTTAAAACCAATGCACCACTATAAATTTATAAAGATATAAGGATTAAGCTTTAAATTATTCGAATATATGTTACATAATTATTCTTTATGCACCTTTCCAAAACCATTTGTTTCGTATCCGGATCTCTTGTTACATATGCTGTTAAACCTACAGCGGAAGAACCTTTACCGGAAGTGTAAATACCACGTGGTACAATTTTATGTACATACTTTTTATATATTGAAATAATTTAGGTTGGTTTTTTTTTTAAAAAAAAAAATTGTATTTATTGTTAAATTAATTTATATTTCAAATAAATAAATTAAATTCAAATTGGATTTAGCTAAAAAAAAAAAAAAAGAGAGAGAGTGAGAGAAATTTACCTGAAGCATTTGTGATTTACTAGTACCGGGATCACCGACCAAAAGAATATTTATGTCCCCTCTGAAATGAGGGGAACCAGACTTCTTAAATTGTTTATTAGTACCACCAAATAATTGTAAAAGAATACCCTTTTTTACATCATCCATTCCGAAAATACTAGGAGCTAATTTAAAAGGTACATAAATACATTAATTGATTAAAAACGTCTAACGCCATTTTGAATTGAATATTTTACCTAAAGAATGTGCCAGTGTTTCATATAAAAGAGGATTCTTTGACAAATCATCAAAATATTGTTTGTCGGCTTCAGAGAACTTTGGTTGCTTTCGTTTTGGTCCACTACCAAACATTAATAATTGATCTGGCCCATCCTCCATTTCCTCAACTTCATTTTCAAGTCCATGATAGCTAAAGGTTATATAAAATTTCGATTAATTCATGATCATAAATAATAATAAGACTTTTAAATTTTAAGCCCAAATTACTTTTGTGTAAAATCATTGTCATCATTATTACGAATTCTTTCGGATCTCCTAATATGAACGACATCAAGATATGTCTTAAACAACGATTTAATGGTGCGTTGTCGATTATTGACACGAATTGGAGATGACCGATATATGGCAGTTAACTCAATCCTATGAAATTATAGACATTAAAATAAAATATAATATTAAGGATGACTATAATAAAATTAAGAAGTATAAACTTACTTATCACCAGGACGTGCAATGTCAACCAAATCGTCATATAAACATAAAGAAACAGTATGTGGAGTCTGACCGTCAGGAATACAATCTAAAAACAAGGGAATAATTTAATAATTTCAATATGATCCTTCTCAAAAAGACAGAAATTATATTCACCTGGAGTTTCCTGTAACCGACATACTTGCTTATCCTTGAAAACAGATCTGTTGTGAATCAAAGTCATTGTACCAGATGAATTACATTGTTTTCTAGGGCATCTAGATGGCTCATCAATCTTGCCACGATCAACTTCAATTTCCACGGACTTGTCGCATATTGAACATCGAAAGAAGGCTATATATGTGAAATTTATCATAAGAAAATTAATCAAAATATATTAAAAAATATATATATATATATTTTTCGCAATTATGAAATTAACAACATACCAACTGCCATTTCGGGCAGGATAGGCGATGATCGAATCAAAAGACCCTTGATACAGACCAACTGATCAATATCTAAAAGAGAGATTTAAAAACGATTACCAACAATAAAATTACGCGTTCGTAGTATTCCAAACTTACCTGCTGGGTTCAATTCACGCATATTTTTAGAAATTCCTAGATTGTATGGACGAACCTTAAAAACAAAATTTTTCTTAAAATAAGAAATTAATAAAAATGACACGCAAATGTGAAAAAGACAATACCCTGAGATCCTCTGTTGGTTCCTTCTTATACAATTCTGCGTACATTTGCGCAATAACGTAGTCAAGTATCGGAATTATTTCTTGAGGATACCGAATAATTTGATAATACAACTTGTATGTATCTTCAAACGCGAGAAGATTTTGGGTATCAAGATTAAATTTAAACACTTCCGTTTTTTCAATCTTTTATAAGTAAATAAGGCACAAGTTAGGTATAATTATTTAAATTTGCAATGAAAGAAAGATGTGAAGCTTACATTCTCTAAATAATCAATATAAAATGATTTATTGTCAGATTCTAAAACTGGGAGGCCATCTCTAAGCTTCCGATCCGCCAATTTAAATTCTTTGAGAAATTTTTTAAAGGTTTCTCTAACTTCTTCCACTTTAATAGTTGTACCCCAAATTTGATCCTTTCGATTTTCCCTTTCTTGATCTTCAAGCATCGTTACATCTTCGTGATCTTCATTGATGTCAAGATCGATAAAGCGTTTAGACGAACGAGCGCTGTGAATATCACCGCGTCGTTGTTGCCTTCTTGGAGTCCTGGGCGTAGCAGATCCAGAATTTATTCTAATAAAATAATTTAATGAAAAAATTCATTCAATATTTAATTGAAACGCGAAATATTATTCAAAAAATCTTTCCATACCCATCATAATACTCTTTCAGAATATCAGTTTCGGGGTCTTCGGCTAAATTTTCAGTGTCGATTGGTTTTCTCTGTGGTGTAGAAGCATGTAATCTTCGCGGTGTATTGGAAAGTGACCCTCGAGATCTACGTGACAAAGGAGACCTTGATGAAGATATCGATCTGGGTGTAGCCAAAGAGGAAGCCACGGTTGCGGGAGAAGATAAAAAATTACGAGGAGTATAAACATTTGAATCATCTTCCATTTGTTGATTTACTGGAGTATTCACATCATTAACATCCTCCTCCTCCTCCTGTCTTAAGCCAAAAGCATTATTTGGGCTCTCCGACATGGTTAACGTTATCTGTTTTAATAAAAGGTTTGCTACTAGAACTTAAAATTTTGGAGATTACGAAACGTATATAAATGATAGTTGCAATATCAGAAGCGTGGTTTATTTCCTGATCGAGTAATGACATTCTCGTTACCATAATTATCGGGTTTGTAAAAGTAAATTCAAACGTGTAATTTCAGCGAACATCTCTAAAGTTACACCGATTTCAAAATACCATGGTGTTGATAAAACAACGTGTCTTAGCTTATGCTGATCCAACTGCTCGTGGGTAATTCCCCTATTTGTAATAGTCTAGCTATATTTGGTAGAATACAGAGCAGACGCGTTGGCTTAAAGTCCGTATTATAAATTTAAAGGAATGTTAAAAAATAAATATAATAAATATGAATTCTTTCATAATTATTAAACCATAAAAACTCTATTTATTTATTTCTAATGTTATAACAATAATCACTTATACGAGTAGCAATTATATCTCAATATACACATTATTCTAAACTTATTTTGATTTCTCATTTATTTAAGAAACAATGATCATCAAGGGACGACATTATTTTTTTTTTTTTTAAAAAAAAATGAATGTTAAAATTTTATTTACATATAATCCTAATTGGAGGATTGATTTTATTAAATTAATGTAAATGTGTATCTACATCATTCTCTTTATGAGGTGGTTATCAAATTTAATATTACATTTAATACATTATATTAAATATTGCACAGTTCATAAAGGCACTTTTGCAATAAAAAAAAGAAGGAAACTACCAAAAAAAATAAAATGTATTTTAATTAAATCTGACTATTTTATCCTCTACTATACTTATTAACAATGTCTACCAGGATCAAATATAAAATCAAGCCAGTGGAAATTCCTGAAATTTTAGTAACCTGAAGAAAGAAATTAAGACTGAGCTACCAAATAAGTTTAGTAACTTTATATTGATGATATAATACTACAAGTACATGGTAAAGAAGAGAGAATATAATAATTGATGAAAATTTTAACAAGTTATAACAAACCTGTTTATTTTAAGGTTGTTGATACCTTAATTCATAGTAACTAAACATGACACCCATGCTTTTTATATCACTATTACATTAACTAACTTTGCCTTATTTTAGTCTTCTAAACCAATTAGATAAATATCTTTGCATCACAATAATTGGTCAACATGAAAGTGACTAAAAATAGTTGATCATCTAACCAAATATTATGATCAAGATATTTTAGCATATTTTTCTATTATAAATATATTCTATATTGTAAAAAATCTGAAAATGGATGTTTAGCTATGTATATAATTCAAGAAACAAATAATAGATAAATGAAGGAATATAAATATCCTTAAAGTTAATAAAATACAATATAAAAAAAGCAATTACTAGTTATTTCATCAAATTTTGTTTGAGTATCATACCCTTTAGTAAAAAAATAATATTTAGTGTTTTAACATTCTTCTTCTTATTTATATCAACTATGTGATTAACTTAAGGAATTCCATTTTATAATAAAATAACTTTCCTAAAGAACAGATTAATCATTGATTTTAAAGATGTATCTAAATAGTCATTTAACACTTAGATAAATCAAATTATTCACCAGAAGTTTTCATGATACAAGCATTGATATGTAATCTGTATAATATTTAATCATGTCATCTCATGTGGATTTTCAAAAAAATGATTAATTAAGAAAATACGTAATAGAACTGATGAAAGATAATATACCTACTTATATTAGCTGAAATTGCTTTAGAAACATTATTAAGAAATTCTTAGAAATGAGGGGAGTTTTAAATAATAAATAGATAACTTTTTTACATTTATATATTATTATTTTAGTAATCATAATATATAATATTAATAAATAAAAAAAATGACATGCTTAATATAATAATTTGATTACATAATTAAAATAAAGATCTTTTAAGAGATCTTTCAGATGTTTCATTGATCAATTTATAATTTAGATAGTTTTTTTTTTTTCTCTAATTGTTTAATTGTTAAAAATTACCTTTGAGATAATAATAAAATGCCTTATAAAATAACAAATAAAGTAACATATTTTTTTATTTCACTTTAATAGATTAGGTAAACTTTCATTTTCTCATATAGTAGAAATAAATATAAATAATCTTGTTTTCTGATATATTTATGTAAAACTTATTGATTTAAAATAATTATACCAAATAAATTCAATAAACTTATTTACTAATAAACCTTTTTCTGAAAAAATTTTCATATTCATAAGGATTGTGATCACATAAAAATCCTCTAATATGACTTATACTATAAATTCGAAATTACTTAATCTTGCAAAATTCTCTTAAGAGAAATAATCTTATAAAAAAATTTAGTAGATATAAGTAGGATAACTTATCTAAAAATCTGATGTTTATAGAAAAAGAATATGGATGTGTATAATAATATTAGAAATAAATTAACTTAATATTTTATAAAGATGTAAAAGAACAAAAAATAATATAACACAGAAACTTGCATTAAATAACCTAAGATTTAAATATTTTTTTTAGATCTAACAATTTTTGTTTTTTAACATTTCTACAGTTTCCGGCGAAAAAAATGGCGGTGGAAGACCGCATCTATTTTTGGCTGCGGTTTTACCACTTTCCGGATTTAGACATTTGTTAATATGTTCAAATCGGACATTAGAACCTGAATTAAAAAGGTAAGTTAAAAAAATAAGGTTTGTTATTTGTTTTTATTTTGATTTCCTTTCCGAAACTAT